ATATTTAGAATGAAGATGACGATCGTAAATAACTTGAAAAGTATTAGTAACGAACATGATGCTAATACTAGAATCGGAACAATTTCTGGTAGTACTGTATAATGTTGGTATAAAATCTTTCATAAGAAAGATAAATTTACATCGTCAGTGAAAAAGAAAAATAGTAACATGTGAAAATCTGTAGAAGAAAGAATGTTTATAAATCTTACCAAAATTATAAATTGTGATATATCTTCAATAATCAAAATAAACAAATTCCAAAAACAAACAATTTTTCTTGTTTTCCATAGGAAAGGTGCACTAAATGCCGTAATTCCAGCAACTTTTGATGCCATAAAATTTAAGATATCTGAATCTAATCCAGAGATTAATATAAATACTAATGCAGTTTTTGAATATTGTTGCCACCATTTAGCAAAATCATTATTTATAGATTGTTCTCCTGATATTATAAAAAAAGTAAATGTGCTATTCAAGCATATTGGAACAACCAAGAATATTAGGCTGGAAAAAAAAAAGAATAAAAATAAAAATAAGATAGCCGTTTTATTTCTTTTGAATATTTTTTAATATATATATATATAACAACCTTGTAGGATATAGCCACATCAAATCTTTTCCATGCAATATTAAAAACGCAATATCCAGTCCCAAATCCACAAATACAAGGATGAACACGAATATTACGCAATTATTCCCCTATAAAGCAGAACATTTTTCTTGATCTTTTTTAATAACGTGTGATTTATCTTATAAATATAATCTGTTATGTAATATGATATATACCTGTTTATTTCTTCGCTTCGCCAAGAAGAATAAAAAAAGTAAAACCAAAAATGCAATCACTGTTCCGAGAACTATCCATCGATATCTCACCCACAAGCCCGCTAAATTCATGTAATTTTATTAATAAATTTATTGTTGATTTTATTGATTTTATAAAAAAAAAAAAAAACTTACGAGCCCTGAAACTTCCAAAGGAAGAGTCTAAATAAAAAGTATTCGACTCTTTTGAAATCTGTGTGACGGCTTTATTTCTAATCAAAGTATCCATATCTTGTATTATTTTAGCAGAACTGGCTTCAGATGAACTTGTAGGTCTACCAATATATACGCGAAATAAGATTTGACCTATTGAAACACTTCTATCGTATTGATATTTTTTAGTTGTCGATATTCTTTCCGGATCACATGGGATTATGCTCGCTAATTGCCTAGAAAACTCTATAGAAAATTTGGATTGATCTTGTGATGAGAGATTTTCGTAAAAAGTTGATCCTTCCGGAGTAAATCGAATTATGGCACTAGCGTAATCTAATCGAATAAGGTTAGCAATGAGTAATTATCTTTTAGTTATCCGAAAACGGTGCATAAATTCAGTGTGCGTTTCTCCAGTATCGGAAAAGCGATTAATTCCGGTTAACGCGCATTGAACCTTATGTAACATCATGAGGGTCCATACACAAATTAACATTTTACCATCGTCCTTGTTATTCTCCAAGGAAAAATCTAGATTAAAAAAAAATAAAAAATTAAGAAAAAAAAAAAAATACGTATGTTTCATTAACAATCATTTATACTAATCATACCTGAGGTAAAATTCCATAATGTTGGCTTTATACCCAAAAGTTGTTGATCAACTTTAGCATCTTTAACGAATCCATTGTCAATCGTAATATAATATGTAGAATTCTCTCTGTTAAATGTACTAGACAACACCGTAGCAACTACAGTTTTGTTACTAAATAATTGAACATATTGCGATTGATTTCCAGAGAACGATTGACGAAGAATACTGAAAGATCCTCCGAATTCCCATATGCTAATGTTCCCATCTGACATTTTAACATCATTAAGAAATGTTATAGTAACTGTTGTGATATTTATGGGAGATATTTTTGAATTTATTACAGGAAAAGTTTTTTGAACCAATGCATTTCTATAACTAGCAAGACCGACAGAACCTCCCTGAACTAGAATCACAGAAATTAATAATCATAATACATATAACAAAGGTCTACATTTATATTGTTATAAACACGTACTTGTGCTATATGTTGTTAAATTAGAAGAAGAAACCACCGACCATCCATCGGAATTTGTAGCAATCGCCCACACCGTATTGTTAGGAAATACGCCGACAGAATAAGTATAAAAATAATTTTTCGGTAACCCCCACGGACCGTGAAGCTTACCATCATCACTATATACGACGCCAGTAACAGATCCATCTGTGGTATTTGTAGCTATTATGCAATTTCCACCATAATACAAAGGTAGTGCACTCCATACATCCGATATGATTGGATTAATGATAAATTCTTGAGTGTTCATTACTGATCCAGAAGACAAAAAGTCTATATCAACAAGAATAAGATTTGAAGCTTGATTTATATATATCAAGCAGCTATATCCAAGAGAAACATAGGAAATGTGACAACTAACTATTCTGATGGTTAACATAATATCAATTGATCTTGTATATATCTGAAATGGCCCTTTTGTATCCGTTCCTTGAGCCGGGATGAAAATAACATGTATTATCACTGGAGAGTTGAAGCTTGAAGAGGCAAAATCATTATATCTGGCGAAGATTATACCGTATCCCCCGTCTTCAGTTGGAAAAATTTTAGAGATGTCACGATTAAAACGAGAGATGTTATTCAATATTCCATTTGAAATAACATTAATTGTACCCGTGGTCACATCGCTATGGAACCAATCCGCATTAAAAATATCAATAATAGAATCTTTTAAAATCTCATATAAAAATCAATAAAAAAAAAACTTTTTAAATCGTCGCACACAAACTTACGATGAAGAATATTTGGTCCAAATAACCTTTTGAGCGTCAGAGATATAGCATACTCGTAAAAAATCACCATCTATTGTATTTATATTCTGAACAAATTCACTGTCTGTACACATATCCCCAAAATTCATGTTACTGACATTAATCGAATAAAACAAGTTTAATAGATTAAAAATTATAAAAATTGAAATAATTAAACGAATAGCGTCAGACAAACCTAAGAATACGAGAATCCCAGGTCAACACGAGACCACAAATATCAAAAGAGTCAGGCAACTTACAGAAATAAGTTACAAATATGTATCGATCTATTATTGCATAAATCCTTATGGCATCTGAAGTTTTATTAGTGGTATCTAATGTACTCAATGTTGAAGTACTTGAATTATTGATTACAGGTTTCTTAGTGAACGCGTTTCCAGTTATCGAACAATAATTTAGATCAGGTATTGATACGTTCAAGTTAATAGAAGAAATTGTTCCATTCGGATGAATCAATCTTAAATTTATTCCTTGAGAATTACAACCCATTAAATTACTATTAGGTCTCGTGACACGTAATAATATAGTTCCATCATCATAACTCGCCTTGTCAACCACTTTATATTCAGGAAATAATTCTTTGAAAATAAGAACGTTTATGTCATCGGTTAATACTTGTGTTACTAAGTACAACAAAGATATACACATTATCATCAATATCTCTCGCAAAGACAATTTCCGCATGATCGAAACGTTGTCAAAGGAAAAAAAAGAGTACTTAAAGAAGACGATCAAGCAAAAAGAGAAAAGGAACAAAAGAGTAATAATTGATCAAATAGCCGTGATTTCAACCCGAATTTATTAGTTTAATTATGTATAGTGATACAGACAGGAAATTAAAAATCAAGTGCATGGATGCTTCAAAAACCAAGCGAACGACTGCAAAAGTACCTGAGACCAAAATACAAATATTAAACAATGTTTTTTTGTATATAAAGGGTTTTGCTTACATGTTTGAAATATCTGACCTGCATATATACTGTACACATTTACATATTTACTTGGTTAATTTACATACAATTTAAATTTATAAATCTTTTTTGAAGAAACAATTGAGATTTTCCAGTATTTAAGTATCACACCTCATAGTTATTCACATGAATCACATCTAAATAGTTTAAATGGTTTGATTATGGTCTATTCATGATCGTAATAGTCAAAAAAAAAAAAAAAAAAAAAATTATTTTTGCTCTAATTCTAGAATTCATTATTTATTGTCGTGAATTTGTTTACAATACATTAGCGTTAGAGGAGTAAAAAAAAAAAAAAAAAAAAAAAAAAAATCTTTAAGTTGCCTTGATAATAAAAAATTATAATTTATTAACGTCCAATCTCGTTTCTCATATAATAACTTTATGAATTCAAAGTCAAGATCTTCGATGTCTCAAAAAAGATGAACCGCTTACCGGAAAATCGGGTCAACCTTAATTGTTATATTTTCTGCACGGAAAGTCCTGTAGGACAATTTATCAACCACAATTATCTACCACTACCAATAATTTTATAAATAATGTGACTTATTAAAATAATCATCTGCATATGCATGTGCCTTGACTCCTATAATTGATGAACGAAGAAGACACTGAATATAAAACTTCAGTGACAAATGAATTGAAAGAAAGATACCAATAGATCACGCGATTAAGTGCATTAATAGAGGATGATGTACTTATCCAAAAAGCATATACGATCTTTCAGGCTAATGGTATTATTTGTCATTATCGTGATACTCTAATGTATATCTTAGGAAAACCGCAATGAATGAATAAGGGTTGTTCAAATAATCAGTCTTTTTTAAAGTTGTAATTTCTATTTGTGAGCAAATCTCTTAAAAGTAACTTTATGAACAATACATTGATTGCCTCATAGAATGTTATTCTTGCATACAACTATTATTATTATCATCATACGATACATTCTAAAAATGACTTTCCCCTGCCCAAATGTATTGATTTGAATTAACCCTCATGCTGTTTGTTTCTTACAACAAATAATGAATTACTGTATTACCGACAATAATATACGTACAGTATATATAGATCAAAATAAGAAGTTTATAATTATCTCAACATGATTGATATTTAAGTTGAAACTTCATTGCCCATATGCGTAAAACGTTCTATGTAGGGATACCAAACGGTTCGATTATTAGAAATAACGGAATTTTAGCCATAGCTCCTTAATATCTTTAAATTAAAAATATACAATACTATTTCATTAAATCGAGCAGAATTAATTAATATTTATAATTTTTATATTTTTATATATAATTGTGTATTAGTAAAATTAAAGCAAACCAATTTTTTTTTTATTCTTTTATTAAATACTGTAATATGTTTTTTGTAAAAACTTTAAAATTATATAGAATTTTTTTTTTGTTTATAATTTTAATAGCTAATATTGCTAATATTAAAATATTAATTATAAAGCTTTAAAATATTAGATTATAGTAAATATTATTATAAAATTATAAATGCTTTTACTAAATATAATACTAGAAGTATAAAATAAAATATAAAAAAATATAAAGGTGTTAGTAAAAAAAATACAAGAAAATTATTTATATAAAAAGTTTTTTAAAATTTTAAACAAAAATATATTGATATATTGACAATTATTTAACCAAATTTAATAAATTTTTTTTTTTATTTGAATACTATAGATTTGTAGATTTTAAATAAAAAATTTTTACTCAATTTGATTAGATAGCTATTAAGATATTTTACTTAAATTTTTAAAAAATTTAATAAAACCAATTTGTTTGTTTTTTTACTATTTTCTATATATTGTTGATACTACTTAAAACCAACAAATATTATATTGGATATAATTACTAAATTTTTTTTTTTTTAATTGTTAAGATGATCTCTTGGTTAGTGATTTATTGTTAGATTTGCAAATAAGTTACAATTTTAGTAATGAAAGTACAACTAGCTATATATACAACTTTTGTTGTCTAATTTAAATAGTTTGTTCTAAGGTTTTACACTAGCTGCCATATTTATAGCCTAACTAAAAAGCTATCTATTTAAACTTTCTAGTTACAATTCTTGTATCCTACTCTTAATCTAATCCAGGTATAGCCTCACTACTCATAAACATAAATCTATACAATATTACTAGATTAATGGCTAATTTAAGACTTTTTTTAGCTAATTCTTAAGATAAATCTAATACTGTATTGCTATGTTCTATATATAAATCTGTGCTTATTTGGTAATTTTATCTTAATTAGTATATATTATTTGCTATTACTATTATTATATTTATATCTTATATTATCTTTTGAAATATTACTATAATACAATTTATATCTTAAGCACAATCTTTCTAATTAGTTTTATATTACTTATTTTTTATCTTTTTTAAGGTTTGCAAACTTCAGTATTCTATTCTATCTTTTTATACTCTATACTCTTGGTATCTTCAGTTTTTTAATCTAAATAGCCTAGGAAAATTGATTTGTTCAAACTTAAATTTTCTAGATTTAAATTTAAAGATTTTCTAATTCTTGATATATATTTTTTTAATATATATTTTTTTTTTGTAATTATTTTAGCAGTCTGGTTAGTAGATTCTTTTACAGTCGCAGTTATAAGTATCCCACCCCAGCTAACTTGGCATAGCAAACAGATAAATAAAAAATTTTTTTTATTTAAAAATATAGAACCAACCATGATCCTTAATACAACATAATTACTGTTATTATCTATTACAGCTTCTACACAATCATTCATATCTACTACTAATTTTGCTACCAGACTGTCTGGCAATTGATTCTATTCCTTTATTATCAAACTTTTTATTGACTGAATTTTTTTTTTTGCGAGCTTAATTTCATAATTCTCCAGATATTTTTTATTAGATTCAAGTCTAGTGATATCAAGGCTACAGAAGTACCTTAATACCACTTTCTTCCTTCTATTCTTTAGCAATTTTTGAATGATATTTCAGATTGTTATCTTTTTGAAGCACCTATTCTATAGAACCTTTGCCAAAAATTTTATCAGTAGAATTCAGAAGGCTCTTTTCATACACGGTAACCATAAATTTTGCATTCAAGTTTCTCTGAAAGAGAAACAACTTACCAAACCCAGAAGCTGAAAAACAGCCCCATATATAGACTTTTGCAAGATGCTTTACCAACTGAAAAACACTGCACTTTCTAGAGAACTGCCACACTTTTTTTGGCCAATGCTTCAAATAGAATGTACTTTTATCTAAAAAAACCACATTACTCTAATTATAGTTTCTATGCTATTTAGCCCACACCAATCTTTTTTTAATATGCTTATTGGTTAGCAAGGGCTTTAAAAGTTGTGTAGCATATTTGGCACCTGATTCACAAAGATGATGCCGAACTGTGGACTCACTAACTTTTACATAGTACTTTTTCATATCTTCACAGATTTGCATAGTAGTTACATTGTTATTTTTTTTTGCAAGCTCTATTATTCTTTAATCTTGTTTTTGGTGGTGATTTGATTGCAACCAGACTTTGGTTGATCATTCAAGTCCTTGGTCACAGACCATCTATTAACCCAATATTGCACTATTTTTTTATCACAGCCAACCTCTTTTGCTGCTGCAGCAAGTTCAAGTTTCGGGCTCTTATAGTGAGTGTGTAAAAAAATGATTTCATATCACTTATATATAGGAAGTGATATTATTTGAACTTTCAAAATTCAGCAATCATCCAATTTCTGATATAGATTATCAACAGACCTAAAAAAAGTAAGTATGATTAGTATTTATATTGTACTACATGTTTAGAAAATTTTGAGATATTATATTTGGTTACTAGAAAATTAGCTGGGGTGGGATACTTATAACTACGACTATACTTGAAAATCTTTGTTATTAAATTTTCTAATTTATAGTCTACTTTGTTTTATTTTGTAGTATTGTTAAAAATTTGCTAATTCTTACTTGAGATTTGCCAAGCTAGTTTTGAATTTCTAAGTTTTTTATATAAATACTTTTAATATTTTTATTTTTAGAAAACTTATTATAGATTTGTACTGTCTATACTAGTTTGCATTCTTTTGTTCAATAATATAAATATTTCTAAAAACTTTTAGCACCCAGAAATATTAATATAATTCAAATAACAGGTTATAAACCCAATCTAATATAAAAAATCTGTTACAATAATACAAGTAATTTTGTCTAAAATGTTGCTAGTAGAATTTGAACTTAGTACTATAGTCAAGCTAGCTTGAAAAAACAGCAACTTCACTAATTTACTAAATTATTAGATCTTTTATAAATACTAATTTTTTAATTATATTATAATATAAATATTTAATAAAAATATAGAAAACTTAAATTTTATTAATCAATACAAGATGTTTTAAATAAAATAAATTTTTATTAAATTGTAATATTATATATTACCAAATAGAAGCTACTCTTGAATAAAAGTTACTCTTTTGATTTTGGTTTAAAAATTTGAAAGAAGTTATTATGTTTTAATAATAAAATTAGGCTTAAACAAAAGCTACTTTCTTTTTTTTGTCCAAAAAACTTTTAAAATTTTGTTAGCTTCTATTTAGTAATATATTTTAATATTTAATAAAAATTAAAATTATTATTAATTAAGATTAGAGTTTGAATTAGTATTAAAATTAAAATTAAAAAGTATATATATATACAAAATTAAATACTAAAAACTTTAATTAGAGATCTAAAACATAATAAAATTTTAAAATATTTAAAATTTTTATTTTTATTATACTGTATAAAATCCTGTAATTCAATTAATCAATTGTATTAATCTGCAATATAGCAACTTGTAATTAGTGTTACAAATTAAAAGTTAAAAAATCGATTAGTTGGTTAGTTGACAACTAATCGATTGAACTTTTTAGATACCAACTAATCGATTAATTAATTAGTTGACTAATCGATTAGTTGCAACTAATCAATTAAAGAATTAATTGCTAATCGATTAAAAAATTAATTCTTTGCAGCTAATCAATTAATCGATTAGTTATAACTTACAATTAATCAAAAAATTGATTAATCGATTAATTGCAACTTAACAATTAATCGATTAATTAATTGGTTGCAACTAGTTTATTAACTAAAAAAATAATCATCAACTAATCGATTAGAAAAATTTTGATGATTTGTAATACTACTTGTAATATTTAACAATATTTTAAAAATATACTATACTTCTATAAATCTTTTTTAAACTTTATTTTTATCTCTAATATTAATACTAATATAGAAATTTTATATTAAAAATTTTTATATTTAATTAATAATTTATAAGTCAATCAGAGAGTAATTATAGTAAAACATAACATAGATTACTTAAATTATCCAACACAATACCATTAAACAAGCATTCTAACCTAAATGATTACAAACAAATTTTATACAATATCCACAAACAATCGTTCGCTGTTACAAAAAATATTATCCTACACTGAATTTGTCGTGATTTTCAAGATTTCCTTCAAGAATAGATAATCAATCTCCACTGATTTCACCACATTTGCCAACACTACCCACAAACCGCATAATGCTCAATGGCCTAATTATTTCTTCAACTATTAATAACCTTTACAGTCAGCAGGTAAGTTAACATCAACAATTCCACATTCATAAACTTCCATTGATTAACTTTATTTTCTCGTTCTTTCGAATCCATTTTAGCATTTAGTCACTACTAGTGTTGTTAGGCAAAACCTATTTCCAAAATGGCAAAAGACAAAAGTCGAAACTCTGGCGAAAAAGTATGGCACAGTGTTATCCAAGCTATGTGGGCTTAAAAATTAGAACTAGAGATGACAGTTATGACAGTTATGACATTTTAATGTTTAGACAGAAAGATGGCCACATGTATACAAACAACGATAAACTTTCTTCTGGTTTATGAACAAATGGCCGATTCTTTTTGTGATGTAGGCTAAGCTTCGTGAAAGATGAAGCCACTGGTAAAAGCACAGACATAGTATTCAACCAAAAAACAAGCTATGTTGCTGAACTTTTAAAATGTTGCTTTAATGTATAATATATTTTTTTTCTGCTTATCGTTCTAATTGATTATACAATGCCAAGCAATATTTCACTAAATTCAATTACTTATAATTCTAGTCAGATTCGCAAATCATGGAGTAAAAGCTCTGGATTTGGCTAAACGATGGTTGTACTATTTAGATTACAGTCATAATGAGTTTGGACCTTGAAATGGACAATGATAAATTCAAAAGAAAATAAAAATTTTCAAAATAAAGTTCGTCAAATAATCAATACAGTTACTGTATTAAAATATACATCGCATTAACCAATCAAATAGCAGTATTTATATTTTTATATTTTTTACAACCAATAGAATTTCTGTATTTTTTTGTTAAGTTGTATATTTTTTATGCCCTCCTCCCACTCTTATGAGCTATTTAATGTTATGTTAATCAAAGAATTAATTTGAAGTGGCCTAATTGTAGTTAATTATACAGTATATTATTATTAAATAAAACCATTTCCAACAGCCCTCACCTTTATTTTTTTTTTAGCAAGGTGAAATCACCCCCAGTAAAAGTCAAATCACGATTTTAAATTTCCGATATCCGACAATTATAAACGGCCATCTATAACGTGATTAGGTCATTTGAAAACATCACTTTAACAGGGATAAATATGTGGTTTTGCACCTATCATATGTTTTATTATGTTTTTTAAGTTTTGAATATAAAAATTTTCAATATAAATTTTCATGTTAGTATTTAGGGTTAGGATTAGGGTTTGAGAAGGGGTTTTTAGGGGCATAGAGCATTTTTACTTAGGATATCTTGCATTGATTAATTAGCCAGTTTTTGAGATAATATATGCATAGGTGTAAAACACCATAGGTTCGTTTTAGTAAAAGTCTTTATTAATAATAAAAATTTCTCTAATTACATATGAATTAAACAATAGTGCAGTGAGTACAAAATTAAGTATAAGGTTATTTATATCTGATATATACTTTATAATTTTTTTTTAATTATAATATTTTTGCTAATACTTCGCACCATAATTTACGTCTATACAATACAGTACTGGTTTAACGTAAATTATGGATGCTGCCAAATTGCAATTTGTATTACGCAATAATACAATTTTTTATACATATGGGCTGCCGTCAATAGAAATAAGGCAGATTGACATTTTAAAAAAAATTAATGCCTTAGCTTTCACAGCTCATATTTCGAGAATTTTGAGGCTATCTTGATACTTTAATATTCAAAAGAAAGCTTAGGTCGAATGCTTTCTTTTGGATAATAAATCATCAAGATAGCCTCAAAGTCCATCGAAACATGAGCTGTGAAAGTTAAGGTATTAATTTTTTTTAAAATGCCAATCTGCCTTATTTCTATTGACGGCAGCCCATATTTTATACGTATAAGCATTTTATCTTAGTGAACAAACATTTGCCTTATTATATATTGATTATAAAGAATTGTCTACTTTTTATATAATTTGTTACCTGTTTTACTTAATATTAGAGTTAGTTAATTTTATTGATTTTATAATATAATTTACATAATAATTCTTACGATAAATTTTATATTTGAATATAAGTAAATAAATAATAATTACATTTCATGAAAAGCATCATGTTGTATAATGTCAGCAGGTAGTTTAAGTCAGACGAAAAGTTAGCAAATACATGATAAAGAAGCCAAGTTGGCCAAGAAGAAAGTAGCAATCATGATTGTACTAGGAATAACAAGTAGTTTTTCACCTGTCCAGCTGAGTAAAAATTACCGTATGTGTCCGAAAATAAGCTACCATTTTAGCCAAAAATTACACAAAAAAATCATAGGGTAGCTTATTTTCGAATCTTTTGATTTTTTTGAAAATTTAAAAAGCTTACTAATAAAAAGTTGTCAAATTTTTACTGTAGGTGTATTTTGATGCGCTGAACAAAATTGTCATACGTAGTAAAAATTTGACTTATCTGTTATATATATAGCAACTTCAGGCGATTTTTGTTAAGATTTTTTAAAAAAAATTAGGGTAGCTCATTTTTGGACATATACGGTATGCGTTTTCCATCTTGGAGTGGGCTGGGTAAGTCACAAGAGTTTTGGTTCAAACATTAGTGGATCTGTTTTTTTGTGTTCTTATGTTTACTTGTTTCTATTCTAGTAAAGTGTAAACAATATAAACGCGTGAGCGGACCCATAACTAAATAAAAAAAAAAAAAAAAAAAAAAAAAAAAAAAAAAAAAAATTAACTGCGACTATAAACATTAGTTGCGCGCATAAATATTAGGAGGTTTCAAATCTTATTTTATTTTTCCGATTTATAATTAAACATAGTAAGAATGCTATTGAAAAAATCCTATTTATTTCGAATTGTGTCACTTATTTGTTAACTTTGAAACCCCCAATTATATCAAAATCTATAGCTAAATTTATAAATGAAATATTTCAGCGGTTTATGGACTCCGCAACCAATTTCAGACACTGCTGTTTTTGTTATACGAAACCAAACATTGACATTTGTGTGGGCAGATATGAATTTTCAAAATTAGGTTTTTGATTATGGTAATATAAATTAATTAGTGGTGAATCAAAAACGTAACGGTGATTATTGATGTATCAAAATGTAATTTTGTATCACTTTGACTAAGTGTCCTCCGCTACGCTCTTGGCAACAAATGACAATAAATGGAAGTCATCCGCTACGCTCTTGGCAATAAATGACAATAAAATGGAAGGTCATATTTCATATGAAAGTCAACTCCAGATTTTGAACTTATTCTGTGACTAAGTACTTGCATTACCTTTTATAAATTCAAATAACGACAAAAAAATTTGATGTTAATAAATATTTCTGTAATGAGAACTGTACTGTTCACAATAGCATTAATATTACTACTTAATGCACATAATACAAATGCTGAGCAGTATTACGATCCAGGATATATGAGTATTATCCTTACAAAGAAAAAATCTGCCTATAGCCAAGCTTTAGGAGATTTCATTAAGGTAAACAAAGTTTACATAGATAAAAAATATTCTATATTAAAAAAACGTCAATCTCCATTTTCGACTATAACTTTAACTGATGAAGAAATTTCGAAAAATGATGTGGGTTATTTTGGTCCTATAACAATTGGTAATCAAAATTTTACAGTAACTTATGATACTGGTTCTTTGGATCTTTGGGTTCCAGATATTTCATGTAACATCTTTGCATGTGGGAATCATAATCGATTTGATCCTTCAAAGTCTTCTACATTTCAATCATCTAAGAATAATTTCACTTTATCTTATGGCCTTACTGTTAACCAATCTGTTACTGGTTATGAAGGTCAAGATACAGTCATATTTGGCGGAATCTCTATCACACAACAAAATTTTGGATTAGCGACAAATGAACCTTTTGCAGATCTAGAAGAAGACGGAATTCTTGGTCTTGGGCCTCTGAATGTAGCTGGATTTAAAACGAATGGTATTATGCAATCGATAAAAGAACAAAAAAAATTATCCAAAAATATGATTGGATTTCATTTGGGAAGAGAAAAAAATAATTCAAAAGATATAAGCTTTATGACACTTGGTGGTGTTAACCAAGACGCTATTATAGGATCAATTGGATATAATAATGCAAACATTTCATTAGGGGTTTGGATAATCTCATTAAATGATATTAAGGTTGATGGAAATTCGGTTGGCACCTTTTCACCAGCTCCAGCTGTTATTGATACTGGTTAGTACTATTTATTTTATTCTTAATTTATTAAATTATGATTAGAAATTAAAATTTATATTTAGGTACTACGTTGGTTTACGGTGTCTCTTCGATAGTTAATGAAATTCATTCTCAAATTCCTGGTGCTATTCTTTATCCACTAGAGCAAGGACAAGTAATAGAACAAATTTGGGCTATTCCATGCAATACAAAATCTGTAGTTTCATTTACATTTGATAACGGTTCATATTCAATTGACCCTGCTGAACTTATTCTGAATACTAATGAATCAATGTGTGTTTCAGGTATTCAATCAAATCCTGAAAATTTTTGGTTAGTTGGTGATGTATTTTTGTCAAGCGTTTTTAGTGTATTTGATTTTGATAATTATCAAGTTGGATTTGCTCAGACAAGAATAATGACCAAATTAAATTCTAGTTCTAATCCTTCCAATCCTTCCAATCCTTCTAATCCTTCTAATCCTTCTAATCCTTCTAATTCTGCAATAAATTTGTTTCCGAATCAAAATATTGTCTTAATTATTGGAGTAACCATTGGTGTTGTCATTTTTTTAGTAATAATTATTATTGCCATTATTGCAGCTCAAAGATTTATTAAAAAATATAAACAAACGAGTCATTAAATTTATTCCAAAATACTAAATAGTATATTTGGTTATTTTAATTAGTGTTCATTCACGACTTAAATTTAATGTTGGTTTTATTCGTTTGTTTTATAGTGTCTGACTAATTATTTGCATGTTTTTGTCATGTAGGGCGATGTTATCATGTAAGGTACGTGTGGCATCAAGAGACTTGAAAGTAGTTATGCGATAATTCGTTGAAAGGAACGTAATGAATGTCTTTAGACTTCTCAGATGTCAGGGACACAAATAATCGATAATAAATAATAAATAAATGAATTCCTTTTTTACGAAATATATTCTCCTTAAATATATATTCTAAAATAGCATGTTCACATTCATAGTTCTTTAAATTCTTTACGTATAATTCCCTTAACCCCAAAATAGATAGTAAACATTAACTTTTTAAAAAAGCAAAAAGAATTTACAAAATTTTGCAATTTAATTGTTTTGAGAATTCATCGATATTCTATAAAGTTATGAAATTTACATTTTTTTACAAGGAATAAACAAATGATGGATGTTTGTCTCCCAATATCACAGCCTCCTCTTTATTTTTTCCTTTTAAAAATCGGTCTGGATCGTTAATTTTATGTTTATTTACTCTATTTAATAAATAATATTGAACCATTGATAAGATTATAGCAACTATTAAAAGAAATATGGCAATAGTATGGCCAGTTTTATAGGCTGGCGCATCTTTAGGTTGATATATTTGTGCGGCTAATAATCCACCCGCGTTTCCACTAGATACTAACATTGCACTACCTACTGCGCGTTTCGAGTCGCCTGCTAGGTTATTCATTAACCTTTTAAAATTTTAGGTGAGGAGATAGATATTGTAAGTAAATTTAAAAGGTACGTATGTATGTATGTATGTATGTAGAGATATAATATAATATTACCACGTAATTGATATAGGAATACATACGAATAATCCCATTCCAACAACACAAGCCCCAGTGTATTTTACTAAATTATTAAATATTAGCGTTGGTCTATAACATAGCTTAAGAATATTATTTGAGAGTGTGTAGATAAACTTACTGGCAATACTAGAACTCGGTACCACAAGTAATACGTATCCTACAATTGCTACTAATGAACAAAGTATCAAATATGGACCACGAATTTTGCGTCGATCAGATAATATTGCAACCGTGACCGTTGTAAAACTTCCCACTATATATGGCGGAACGGAAAGGAGTTGAGAAATGACTAATAAAATAGTAAGTAGAAGAAAAATTAAAATACTATTTACATATATACAACAATAAATGATCATTATAAAGGCAAATTAAAACCTACCAGAACCAAATCCCAGTCCATTTACAATCGACGGAAGAAAGAATGAGAATGAATATCCGAGCATTGATACAATAAATTGTATTGATAATGCTATGTAAATTTTCTGATGAATAGCACAATAAGACAAATTAGTAGCATGAATGATTTTAACCTATTCATAGGAAAAATATTTGTCTTCCTACCCAATCCTTAAAGGCTTCGTAAATTTGATATTTGTCCAAATTAGTTGTGTTAACGTTTGCTGAATCAAGCTGTAAACGATCAATGATTGTCTTTCGTTCATCCTCTGTAAGCCAGGTAGTAGTCTCAGGATAATCCGTGATCAAAAAGTAGGAGGCAAATGCAACAACAATTGTTACCAGACCATCAATGAGAAAGATCTATAAAAATATATACAATATATATATATATATATATTTTTTTTTTTTGGAAAATCTGTAATTGTAATAAAACGAACAAGAATTTATACGTGCCCATTGCCAACTACTAAGTCCAAATCTACCATCCAAATACATAATGGCAAATGCCAAAAGTCCACTAAATGCACCAGCGATCAAGCAACCAGAGAAAAACAAACTAACACGATAATTTTGCTCAGTTCTCCTATACCATCTTGTAATATGAAATATGACACCAGGAAAAAGACCAGCTTCAAAAACTCCTAACAATAATCTTGTTACCAATAACTGAGTATAATTTTTCACCTTGAACAAAGAAGTAGTAATTCAGAATAAATGATTACTACAGACAGTCATGAGAGAAAATATTTAATACTTACGAATGCCATAATTATCATTACGACACTCCATCCAACCATGAGAGATGCAACTACAAAATTGGAAGTGAGAAAAGAACATTTATTATTAATTTATATCAAATATTCAAAATAATAAACTTACTCCAAATTGAAGGTTTGATTTTAATTATTATAATATTGGATGGAATTTCGCATATTACATAGGTCCTATAAGAAAATAAAAAGCTTAAAATATAAGGAGACAATTTATTTACTAGAAAAAATATATATACAATACTTACACGAAAAATATACTTAAAGCCCAATTATATTCATTCCCGGTTAGACCAAGATCACGTTCCAAATGAGCTAATTTCGCGTTTCCAATATTAACTCTAAAAATAAAGAAATAAAAATAATTATAATTAATAGCTGAAATTACGAGAAATTACGGAAGCAGTAAATAGACTTTAAAATAAATAAATACCTATCCAAGAAAGAAAGGATATAAAGAAGTGTAAATAAGGGAATGATCCTTACATCTAACTTTCTTAATAATCTTTTTTCATCGACACTTTCTACAATTTCAGTTGTCTCTTCTTCCATATTATCATCAAAAATATATAATTTTACGACTATATATTTTTTTATTTATAATTTAAAAATTATGACTGGATTTACACAAAATTTCATCGTAAAAGTGATATAGAATATCCTAAATTAATCCATAAACTTTCGCTTCAAATTCGAATCTAATTCCACATAATTATATAATTAATTCGGTGACACATACAGTCAGTATGAGATCAATCAGTCTCAGTTCAAAAGCGTTGAGGGCAAAGCTGCACTTCAGAATAAAAAGTCGATATAATTGGCTTAATTAAACTTAATACGAGATACGCTTTCAAAAATAGATAAGTATCGCCATTGGCGATGCATGCATTTTCTACGCCGGCCGGGTAACATTATTTGAAGTGCCAGGCACTTAACAGCCTCCTACAATATTAATTCTTCCTTCCTAGTAAATTTACTTAAAATAGCAATTAATTTAATTCATACTTATCTCTCAATTGCTAAAATTAAATTTTTGGCGTAAAGATTAGAAACGCGCAATCCAGTTTTTAGCAGGCTTTTGATATAATAATCGAAATAAATGCGAAACTAAATAACAAAAAAAAACAAATAAATAATAAATTACACGTAAACGTGCGTAGAAGAGATTCTCTTCGATAATGAATCTTATTGGTCGTCTCATTAATGTGATACATTTGAAATTAAATATTAAAACTCAAAATTTTATATATTAATATATACAATAATAAATAACCAAAAAATATACATATAATATCAGGCATTTATAGAATATATTTGTACGTAAACAAAAAATTTATTAATCATTGATTTAATATTTTTTAAAAAATTTTAGTTATTCAATTTTGTGTGATTTGGTGTAACTATCAAAAAAAAAAGCTTGCAAAATTTTAGTTATCATGAAACAAAAAAAGTATAGTACATATTAATTAGTGCTCGGCACAAGCAAACAAAAATTTGATAATCAGATTAACCAAAACTAAATATACAGTATATTAGACTCTCATCTTGTTGTTCAGAGTGTATACATGATGTTTAAATTATTTGCTCTTGCATAAAATAGCTAAATTATTTTTAGATAACCTAAAACATAAATAATTTACATACTGTACATAGGACTCGAAAATAATTCAGATTGCAAAAACTATTTTAGAGTGCCAAATATACAGTATTTAGAATAATTCGCCATTCCAAAATAATTTGAACAATAAAATTAAATATAGTAATATTTTAGAATGTTGAAACTAATCTTTAGATCAAATAATTTTAAAAATTAGTTATATTGAATATTAGTGAAACTATTACTGCAATTTTTACAGTCGCAGTCATAAGTATCCCACCCCTCTTAACTTTTTAAATTTGAAAGCTATAGCTTTGAAACTTTTACAGTAAGTTGTATTATAAAAATCTAGATCAGTAAATTTTTTTTATATTTTTTTAATAACAATAACAAAAATTAGATAAGAGCCAACTTTTTGTTAAATTTTTTTTTAAAAAATAGAGAAAAATAATTGAAAATAATCAAAAATTAATAAAAAATCAGAATCAAAATTAAAAATTTTAAAAACTTAGTATGTTAAAATTCAAGCATTTTTATAGCTATGACAAAAAATTCGAGCCAATTTGATGAGATAGTTGTTGAGAAATTACTTTTTTAATTTTAAAATTAAAATTTATTCAAAATAAGCTCTGCGCGAATAGGTTTTTATTAATTTTCATATAGAAATTAAATTAATTTCTATATAAAAATTAATAAAAACCCATTCACACAGAGCTTATTTGTTGTTGCATAAGGCCGAACTTGCGTCAATAGTTGCATCAATCGTTGTCAAAGTTTCATCTGACGAAACCACTACGTCATTGCCAAAATTAATCACATTGATGCCATCTGCTCTTAAAAAAAAGTTTATCACCATACACTATAAATTGATTTTTTTGAACAATTTCAAAGTTATTTAAGTGGTGTGCCTTATTTTTTTCAATTTCATTCGTGGTTCTTGTGGAATTTATTTAAAAGCATTAATTAACCTTACTTAAACTTTTGGATAATTATCTTTGTGATAACTTACTGCTTATTTGCAATTCTCCAATTGCAGCATCTAATGATATTGATTCGTCTTCTTACAGTTATCAATGAAGATATATTAATTATAATTTTAACTGTGTTAAATTTGAAAAAAATGACGGTTCATGTACTATAGGAATCAGTTTCAGATGAAGAGGTGTGTTGTATTTGTAATTTTTTTTTTTTTTTACGTGAAATTTTTAACAAGACATTATGCTTTCTTTTTTTAGATTTCTTTAAAAACAATTTCTTGTAAACATAAATGTCTTGTATTAGTCAGTACGTAAATATGTACTTTAAACTTTTTTTATAAAAACTATCGTTAAATACTTTTTTCTAATATATTGCATCTAATATATTTCAGACGGTAATTATATTGCTTTTGTATTTTTTCTTAATTAATAATTAAAAATTATATTTTAAATTAGACAGTAAATATTATTTTTATTTATTTATTTATAAATTTTTAAATAGAACTTGCTTTAAAATATATATTTAATTGATTTATATAATAAAATAGACGATAACTGTATAATTACTTTTTTCAGATTAAAGGTTAATTATTTTTTATTAAATAATATTTTTTTCTAATAGATCACATATATTTTGTATTAGATGGTAAATTTAAATTAATTTGTGATTCGCATATCAATAAAATAAAGTGAACTGAAGAACCTAATAAAAGCAGTGCCTGATTCAAAAATTTTAAAAAATTATAGTAAACTTATCTCTATATATATGTTGGTATACAGATAATCATTATTTTTAAAATAATTCTTATAAAAAGTTATTATTAAAAATATTATTTTTATTAGCATGTAAGTAAATTATATTAATCTCAATTATTAATTTTTATATCTTTCAAAAATGAATTACTAAATATTAAATATATTATATGAATTTATTAGCTTGTAGGTATAAAGTTATATATATATCTAAAATTATTATTGATAAAAATTTATCAATTACATATTAGGTGGTATGTATGAAGTTTAATTGTTAAAATGAATCTATTTTGTCACCAGGTATAACAGTTACTGATTGCAAGTGCCCAATTCTTTTAAATGATCAGAGGTCAATCACAATCCGGTGATAGCTAGATTGTCTCTATTTGTATATTTTAATTATAAAACATAAATATTTGTTATAAATGCTGTTTTTTAATTGTAAACCATATGTATGTGAAAACGATAAAAAAATTATACAAGAATTGGATCATATTTAATATGTAAAATAACTAAATTTTTATAACTTTTAACTTTGGTACAATTCATGCCATGTAATTTTTTTTTATTTGAAAAATTTACTATTTTTAATATTTTGTATTGATTGGCTAAGGCTAGCAGCCTTTTTTTTTAAAAAAAATTTATAAATTTATATTATAGTATTATATAAAATGGCTATTGATCTTGATTACGCTCAACCTTGCCATGGCAATAAATATTCAGTTTGATGTTAAATTATATAGAATACTTAATACATTATGACTATTATAATTGTTTAATTCTTTATTAAAACAAATTAAAAAAGAGGACCAAATAAAACTCTGTGATTTATTTTTAATTACTTAATGCTAACAACAGAAAATTGTTAAATCATTACACAAATTTATAAACCTAAAAATCACTTTTGTTTTTGAATATACAGTATCTAATGTTTACTAAAAACTTGCTATAATCAACAAGCTGTTTCTCTATTACTATCATTACTCTCATTATAATCTGATTTATTATTTAACAAACTGTCTCTTTTAACTTTTTCTCTACTTCAAATCTAAATTGATTACCATCAATCGCAGTGAAGTTAATGTTTGTTTATACGAAGGGAATTTACTAATGTTTCTCCAACAGCATTTCCAATAAGATTAAATAAAATCTCCAAAGTTAAAGTGTTATTTTTGAGAAGAGCACCTGCTAATGCCCCCCTGACCCAAGTTGGTTAAGGTAAAGAACTAAAGTAGCTAACGTGTTGTTTTGCAAAGAGCATTTGCTAGCGCTTTTCCTGTACTATACATATTTACAACTATACTGTACAATACTTAAAAATTGACCAATCAGATTGTATTAATTTTCAAATGACCCAATCGGTCATTTGGCTTTTGAAATGACCAATGACCAGTCATTAGTCATTTGGGTCATTTGGGTCATTTCAGGTCATTTACCATCCCTGTCCTATAGGCATATTAAAGATCTGATACTTCTATTAACAAAATATCAAATATCTGATATTTTACGATAGAAATATCAGATGTCTAATAGGCCTATCAAAACAATATCTATCCGATAGGTTGCAATACGTGCCAAATATCTGGTCGCTATCAGCTTTATAAACGTCCGATATTCCGTTAATATTTCACTGAAATCTTATCAAGTTTGACCTGTGTTATCTAACTGATCAGTTATGAAGTAGATGGAATGTTAATTTTTTTATTATTGTTTTACTCTCTTCCGTTTACTGAGCGATACTCATTGGCAATACAAATATAACTTGAAATTTTTGAATGAATATGCTCGTGTCTCTATTGAAAAAATCATGTTTTTTTTTTAAAGGCCTTTTACCTAATTTTTGCAAAATGCAAATATAAGTTATAAAAGCTTTGATGTATATCTCAACAATAAAAAAATAAAAACAAAAAGTAATTAATAAATAGGATGATCTATGAAAACGAAATAATTAGAGAGCAATGCAGAAGTTTATATTTTAGTTTTGATAAAATTAAATCTAAAATGCGCTTAAGGATCTGGTTCAATAGTAACGCCTCGTTTAATTTTACCCCATCCGATTAGTCTAAATAGCGAGAATATCAGTTGATTTCAGTGCATATAAATCATTACTTCAAAACTTATAACACGAATACAATACCGCCAATGTTTATCAATCCTACGCGATAAGGCAATCTTTTCTTCGACCTCGGTACAAGCAGGACTTGTTAATAGAATTTTAGCTGAATCGCTTTTAACTGACATAACGCGGCCGCCCGTCGAGGTAGATCCTATGTTAACCATCAATACCTCGTTTTTGGCAAGTTTTGACACCTATATTATAACATTTAACAAATTTAATCATAAAACATAGAAACTACATGCAGAAGTATGTGATCACCTTTGTCTGTTTTTTCTCATCTGTTTTAACACCTAATAACCTTCTGAGCAAGAAATAATTAATTTCTAGTTCAGTATAAATGTTAGGCAACTTGCCAACAGCTCCGAGTACTTGACCAACCAGTCGATCCGCACGGCAAAGAGTTGGATCAATTCTAGTGCCAACACCTATTCGAGACACATATATCAAATGATGAATGATAGATATAAGCAATTGATAATTCAAAATATGGATAAATTTCTCACCAATCAAACCACCAGGAACAGCAAATTTTAAGTCATTATGTTCGGCAAATAATGAAACTATTCGCGAAAATATAGGACGAAAATGTATTTGACCTTCATTGTCTTTAGTAAGTATCCCTGGGCGCACTTCTATTTCATCACCAACCTTTCAGAAATACTATAATTAATAAAAAAAAAAACTAGTTCTTAAAGAAACAAATTTTAAATCGATCTATTAAATTTATTACTAATACCTTTAATATACCACGTAAAATTGAACCACCAGCAACACCACCTTTTAGATCGTCAACTTCAGCACCGGGTTTATTAACATCAAAAGAACGAATAACAATTAATCGAGGATCTGAAGTAAAATCGCGAATAGGAATTGGAATTTTTTTCACAATATATTCATTGATAGCATCAATGTTATATTTTAATTGCGCAGAAATAGGTATGATTGGTGCGCCATCAGCGACAGTGCCTAATAAATAAATTAAAAAATCAAAAAATGAAAGGGTTAATGAACAAAATTTCGATAATATTTTTATAAAAAGAATATAGATAAAGTAATTACCTTTTACAAAGGATAAAATACTCTGATAATGTTCTTCACATGCACTTTCCTTACATAAGTCCACCTTATTTTGTAAAATTATGATATGCTTCAATTTCATAATCTCAATTGCAGCTAAATGTTCACTAGTCTGCGGTTGTGGACATGATTCATTGCCGGCAATTAAAAGAAGTGCAGCATCCATCACTGCGGCACCGTTCAACATAGTAGCCATAAGAATATCGTGGCCAGGACAATCCACGAAAGAAACGTGTCTAATGAAATTTGCAAATTTAAAGATTTATAATTGGTATACAGTAGTGTCACGTGTCGTATTACCTTAAAAGTTTCATTCTTCCACCACATCCAGCTCTTTCACAAGGCGGATTGTCTTCCTTGTCGCTGCGGTATGATTTATAACATCCTGGTCTAGGACATTCTTCGTTATCGCATTTATAAATCTGAAGCGAATATTCTGATAAACATAAATGATTAAAAAAGTAAAATATTCACAATTAAATGTAAAACTTACTTTTGCGTTTGCATAACCTAATTTGATAGTAATATTACGTTCAAGCTCATTCTTGAAGCGAACGGTCTTTTTTTAAACGTTAAAATGTGAGGAATTTTGTAAAGGAAAATAAACACGAGCATAAAAAGCCATACCTGAACTCCGGATATTGCTTTGACGACTGTAGATTTACCGTGAGCCACATGCCCAATAGTACCTACGAAGCAAACGGTATTATATTCTAAGATAAAAATACAAAATGCCAACACTATTTAATAATAAAAGACGGCGCGTACCAATGTTAATAGTTGCCTGTCTCGAAATTACTTCAGGAGAAAGTGGATTTAGTGTTGAAGGATCTATATCAACTTTTTCTTCAGCAGTTACTGCGTCACTTGCGGACATTTTAGATAGTGCGCGAGATAAGAAAAAAAAAAAAAAAATCGAGAATTCAAAGATGGTAGAAATGGGCTAAATTGACCAAATTTATATAGCAGATAGTGATAAAATTTTTTAAATCGTGACCTAAAATCTTGTGATCATATCTGATATATATCATCTACGTATATAGTTTCGATGGGACAGTATATATACAGTATATATACTGTAATACCGATACATAAAGTTTATGATCAAGTCAAGTTGAGTCATGAATTCTGTAACTGGAAATTATTCATTCAAAAAAACTCAAAGAACCGCAGTAGTTTCAGTAATTGCATGCTTATCTATATATTTTTTTTATAGGAAGGTTCTACGGGCATAATGACTCATTTTTATGGACAATATTATATTATACAGTATATTATCAAATGAAGAGAAGTCTTTTTCCGGGCTAAAGTGATGAAGTAGCTTATATTCGGGTCCAACTATGTTTCAGGTTAGAGAGTTGTCCCGTGGGTAAGGTTTTTAAGGTTTAAAAAATTCCTTCTTAGTAACAGTATATAGTAATTATTTTATGCAATTTAATTTTGTTACCCTTACCCGGTATATGAAAAAAAATATTTTATTTAAAGTTAGGGTTAGGGTCCGTTTTCAAGAAGGTGTGAAATTGCGTACTGAACATTTTTTGTTTAAGGTCATTAGGTTAGTTTTCATAGTAAAATTTTAAGATATTAGCGATTTTTAATTTTTTTAAATACCTGGTAACTTACTTCCGGGTACAAATCGGCCGGGTAAAAAAAATCGCGCACCCAAAAAAATTTCGAATATTACATGATTTATCGTTATCGTTATAAGATGATGCTAAATCGTCCTTTGTAATACTTATTATAGATACGTATATAGAATGAAATATGATTTTCTAGTTATGAAATATGATTATAATCCACCAATTGCAGAATTGACGCAATGACAGTTTTTGATACGTACCATCACGCCATTTGGATTCTCTTGATTTCTTCAATGGTTTTTTGTTGCACCAAGTTACGTATTTTTTTCTTTGAACATAATAATCCTGTAAATACTTTTGAAGACATTATTTGGTCAAATTTGCGATATCAATTATTCTGTTATACAATCATTGTTAAAATTTAAATATACTGTATATAGCACTGTGTTTATCATCATACAGTATACGTATACTATTAAAAAAAGCCAATATCGATATTATGGACAGTGATAATTTTTCACTGTGTGGACTGTGCGCAGCACACAGAAACAAAATTTTGCGCACACTTTTTTGAATAGATGTGCGGATGCCACACAGTAAAATTGTCATTTTGCAAGTAGTGCGCACAGTTGCAAATAGTTCCTCGTGTTTTTTTTAATTTGCCGCACAGAAAAGATACATAAATTGTGCGGCATCCGCACAGTAAACTTTAACTGTTAATTGAAATGATTATAATAATACGTAAAAATCAATTTTATTAGTTGATGTATATCAAATACTGTATCTATTGTCTAATTGGCCGAAACTTGGGGCTTGGCACGTAATTTTAAAGTTGACCGCGTAATTTAGTTAAACTAGCAGTCAGTATTTTAATGGCTTCTTCAATAAAGAAAGTTTGCAATTCTGTTATCACAAAGTTGCTTGAAACTCATAATTTCGATTCAAACACGGAAAAAAATGGTCAGTAATTTATAAAAATTCGTTAAAGTTTACAAGCTATACCAATTTTCCTGAAATAAATCGCGTAAAATTCTAGATTTTATACATTGTGACAAGGCCACCATTTATTTACTTTATCAATGCCTCAAAGATTTATCTCACGTAGCTTCTGAAGAAATTCCCATGATTTTAGTAAAGGCAACTTCCTTGGTTGATTACGCCGTAGAAAAGCTACACGCATATCCATACAAAGATGTGCCGATTTCTTGGAGGCGGTTACATACCGACGCCAGTCTACTAAAAAGTGTGTGTGAAATTTTTTTAGTACTAAATGTCAAGGATAAAAATTCTTGGAATCAAGTTATAAAAACTTTAGATATGGCTTTAGTAATGACTGGTGCACCTGGGAATAATAGGAAAGAAATGCTTTTTAATCTTATTGAAGAAACTGAGAAAATTCTGAGAGAACTTGAACAAATAAATGATCATTCGACCATTCAAATCACTTCACTTAAACGTACTATAGATGGCAATTCTATAAAAAATATACCTCATAAAAGGTCCAAAGCTAAAGTAACTAAAGTCCATAGCATTCCAATGATAAATAATCCGTTGTCCAAAATATCACAACCTAGTTTAACTACATTCGCATCGCATGTTACGTCAACAAACCCTACTCCTTTCATAATTTACTCCTGTATATCGCATTGGCCCGCACTTTCGACAAGGCCCTGGAGTAATCTCGATTATCTTTTAAATATAATTGGAAAAGAACGAATTGTCCCCGTGGAAATTGGTGCTAAGTATACTGATGAAACATGGACACAAAGATTAATGAATTTTGGTGAATTTATTGAAAATTGGGTTAAAAATTCTACCGATGATGATAATGATGATGATAATATTGCTTATTTAGCACAACATGACTTATTCGCACAAATTCCGCGTCTAAAAAATGATATTGTGATTCCTGATTATTGTTTTGTAGATACTAAACCATTTATTATAGGCAT